GCGGAAGAGAGGGCCCTGCAGGCGAAACGGTCCGCGCGGCTGAGCTTCTTGTGACCAGCCCGCTGACTCGAGCGATGCAGACAGCCACTTGGAGCCGAGTCGAGCGATGCGCAACGGGCCGAGTGGGAGTTGCAAACGAACAAACGGCCGAACAGAACGGAACTGCCTAGACCGGTAGGTAGGTCTTGGACATCACCCTTCCGGTAGGTCTTGAACAGGTATGAACAGGTGGGTTTGTGAACTTAGCTACCTTATAGTGCTTGTAACATCTTGTAACTAGCCAAGTGAACACCTTTTTCATTGTGCCCTTGAAGTGAATGTGCGAACAACAGAGTTGTTGGATGAAAGATGTTGAATGCACCAGGCTGGGCTGCTGATGGGTGACTGCAGTGTACCTGTCCATGTGGATGCTGGAATCACCGAACGATGGAGCGCTCCATGTGATGAGGGGACGCCTAAGTCAGAGCTGCTTCTGAAAAGTTTGCCCGGTTTGGAGCACTTCAGCACATGGAATGGTGCTTTAGCTGGATCTGTGAGGCTATGACTTGTTTCAATGAATTGACTTGGGACATTTGAGAATAAATTCCGATAGATCCATCGTTCATCTATCCGAGGATGGGATGCTTTGGAGGAAGTTTGGTGGACTCAACCTGGAGAAGATCAATGGGCGCGTGCAGAGGCCTTCGTGGCCAAAGTACGAGAGATGCCACAGGATCGACGCTTGGACCAAATAAGATGACATCAATGTGTTTTTAATTCAGTAGGCGCCTACTTAATTAACTAGGGGAGTAAGCAGGCTACTAGCTACTTAAGCTACTACACATGGACGCAGGATTACTCACACTTCTTCAAGAAGGCTCCCCCGCGCCTGAGGGTGGGGGGAGCTTCCTTGAAGAAGCGCTCGCACTAATGATTTGGGGTTGAAGGCCAAGATGGGTGATGGTGGGTGGTCTTGGAATCTCCTTCGACACTTGATTGAACCAAGTAACTATGCCTTTTACAGGGTTGAGGATTACTAATTGAATGAGCCTCTGGGTCCGTTTCTTCAGCTAAGGGATTGCTTTTGTGGGTCACGGTGGCTTCTGGGACACTGCCGGCTCCCCAGTGAACTTTGCATCGGAAACTTGCGCACTCCTAAAACAGTTCACAAATGGCTCACATTTGTGATGAACATGTCAGTCCGAAAGGTCCTTGGTGCCTACATGAAGAACTGCCAGGTCTTGTTTTGCGACCGTAACCTCTTGTGAGCCTGCGTGTCCCTCGGATGTTGCACAGACCCTTTGGCACAAAAAAAGAGGGTCGTGGCGCCCAGAGAAGAAACATGTCACATGTTCAAGCGCTTTTTTGTTTGTGATTTCAGCATCGCTGACTGAGCTGTTGAATTTCACAGGAGAGCTGGGGCAGCGTCAAACCGCCGTCGTACGCCTCGTGGTCGTGTCCTGATCAGCGATCATACACGACACGGACTGCATATCCCGATAAGTGAGGCACCTGTCGATGCAGCGCATGGGACTTTTGGTCCACGAAGTGGATTTGAATACTTTTTTTTTGAGGGCAAGACTGTTGCAAACAGCAAACGATTGAAAAAGCTTCCTCTCTAATGGGTTGGAGGCCATCTCTAGTATTGTTGGAGGCCATCGCTACAAAATTAAACGCTCCCGCGAATGATTTCGGCACAGCTGAGGTCGTGTAGGGAGACGCCATGGCGGACTCCTCGATCGCCCAGATCCGTGAGGGACCCCCAGACGCTGTGATTCTCACACGGACCCCCCCCTCCCACAGATTCCAAATGGGTCGGTTCTGCAAAGCTTCGTTCCAAGAGTTTTGGTCAGTACCGGAACAAGGGCCAAGACCTGTGGGTTGCATCTGGTGAGCTTGTCGCATGGTCCATGCAGAAGTTTGTGTACGTGATTGTATATATGTCATCCGATGGTTTACGTTTCATTTTCATGCGCCACATGCATCTGCTGAAAAAGAATAGATACACAACATCAAATCCACATGTGAGCCACAGCATGTCATTTGGATGTGCTTGTCAGCCTCGAACACAATGCATTATCATAGGGGTATATAGGTTTGTGGGATGCGGGTAGCATCTGGATATATGCATATAGTATTATATAGAAGCTACTAGGAGCAAGGGCATTGCTACGAACGGGGCTCCTGGCCTTACTACTAGGAGCACTGTTCGCTGTTATGCATATATGCTACCCTCATTTTCAGACGACTGGAAACGCTGAGCGTAGCTCGTTCTGCGTTTCCAAGAAGGTCCCGGTGTGGATACCATGCGCCTGACTAGCTTCTTGCTCCTAGTAGCGATGCCAGGAGCCCCGTTCGTAGCGTCCTTGCTCCTAGTAGTAAGGCCAGGAGCCCCTCGTAGCTTCTTACTAGCATCCCCTTTTGCAGCCCGTGGCTCTGCCTCCTGAATTAAGTAGGCCCCTAACTATACCCTTCGCTTGTAGCTATATACTTGGACGCTGCTACCTACTGGACGCAGGATAGCTCACGCTCGCACTAATGATTTGGTTCCTAGATTTTGGGGGAAACTTGACTGACAGAGTTGAGTGGGCACTTACCACAGCGGCAACCCTCGCAAGGTGGGAGAGAAGACCTGGCAGATCAAGCGATGCCTCATGGACTCTCGACAGGCAAAATCATTGATCTCCGACCCTGTGTGGCAGTGTCAAAGTAGCTTCCAATATATGCTTCATGTTCATTAATTTTCTATTCCCTGTCATTTGAAACAGGTCACTTGAACTTCACCATCCAATTACAACCGTTTGCAAGAAGACACGTCCCGATTTTGGTGGGAAGTGTGTTTGAGCACCCCACACTTCAACAAACTCCCCCACGCTATGAGTCAGCTTCCGCTAGCTTTGAGGAAACACCCTCCACTCGTTGTCCGTACGGAGGCCTAGTGCTCACATCAGACAAGATGACAAGTTCTGTGATTTGCATCGCTGACATTTTGGACATCGCTACAGTGCTACTGAATACCCCTGAGTTGACAGAGTAAGTCCGCTGCAACAGAGTTTCATGGTCAATCTGACAAAGACCTCTTCATACATGCGTAGGAGATAAGAATACAATTTCTTGGATCGTTATCTTACAAGAGTAATGTGGATCCCACAATAGCATGCAGGTATTCAAAAATGATGTGTAAGTGGCCAAAGGCACAATTTCTACAACACCATGTGCCACTGATCCTATCATAATCTATCATAGGCCATGGCTATTAGGTTGGAGGCTACTAGTTACTAGGAGCAAAGGGCATCGCTACGAACGGAGCAAGAAGCTACGAACGGGGCTCCTAACCGCAAGAAGCCACTAGTTCAGGGTAGTAACAAGGACGCTACTAGGAACAAAGAAGCTAGTAGTAACAAGTGCATCGCTTCTAGTAACAAGTGCCTTACTAGTAGTAACAA